TTGAAATGGGTTCCAATAGTACACATGAATTTTTAGGCACGTTCGACACAAACACTTGTAGTGAAGTCACAGAATGTTTTGGTAAGATCGTGTATCTGGACACTTTAGCACATCCTGTATTTGTATCAATTGCATATGTTGTACTTTCAGAGTCGCGCACATAAAGAGTGTTGTTTTCTGTGTTGAAAATTCCATCGTTGGCTTGTAGGAAATCCAGTCCAAGAATAAGTGGTTGATGAAATGATCTGAAGACATGGAATCTTTGGGGTATGATTGGTCCATTGAATGACACTGGGAGGGTTATAGCACCAAGGCTAGCATGTCGTTCGCCACCGACTGCGACAGCATCTCTAATGTCAGATGGTTCTAGTTCCTTATGGTTCAGACCAAGTTTTGGCAAAAGGTGAGCACTTAAACAGGAAATGCTGGCTCCTGTGTCAACTAATGCTTTGATTGGAATTCCAAAAACTGAAATGCTTACTGTGTTCTTTTCCACTGGCATAATTAAATTGACACTTCTAGCTGATGTTGCTGCTTTTGTTTTAGCTGAATGGTGTTTTAGACGTTTGTTAGCACTACTGGGCAAAGAAGGGTTAGTTGTTGCTTGGTGTTTTGAGAAATTAGCTTTTTGAATTTTGTTAGCACTAGACAAAGATTTGTTAGTTGAAGGTTCGTAGTGAACTGAGGATGCTGGGGAAGTTGATTGATGTTTAGTACAGTGTTGCCTATCCTTTTTGGGGACAGGCACGAATCCCTATCTTTTAGTATTAGTGTTTTGTCTACTAGAAGGTGTTTGTCTATGATAGTGCTTAGCTTGTGTTTTAGGTTTTGTGCACACTGAGCTGTAGTGGTGAAAATTGTTACAATTACTGCACTGAGAGTTAAAGGCTGGGCATTTTTTTCTATCTGGGCATGACTTACCACCACAACCTCTGCACTTCTGACTTCCACCCACACACTCTCTTCTTTCATCGTGGTGACGTTTGGGGGTCTGGTCACGTCGGTTCCAGTTCCTCGATCCTTGGGAGTCGTGATGTCTGGACTTTCTGGACCTGTCCTCGTTGTGGTACTGTTGACTTGGCTCACGCTCTCTGGAACTGTCACGGTAATGTGTGCGGTCTCTAGACTGATCTCTGTAACGAGAGTCCTGACTGTGTTGACGCTCTCTCGAATGATCCCTGTAGCGTGTGTCGTAACCATGGTGACGTTCTCTGGAATGATCCCGATAATGGTCACAGCGAGGTGGATCTCTGTGGTGATCACAACAAGAATGTGCATGGTTAACTGCTGGGCATTCCTCTCGGTAGGAGTACCTAGGTCTTTCATGGAGTTGATCAGCTAACGCACTGATTTGTGCAGTAACTGTTTGTTCAATATGTGAGTTAATTGATTTTGTCAATTCACTTAAATCAAATGATGAATTGTTCGTCACAAATGACACCTGTTGATCACAACCAAGTTCTAATTGAACTAAGGAAATGTCTCTGCGAAGAGCTTGAAATGTTTGGGGTTCTCTGGCAAGAACTCTTCCTCTGATGTTGCTAATCAAGCCGTTTGCAATGAATTGCACCTTGTAGGCCTCATCAAGATCATGGTGTGCCAGGGCAAGGCGCTCAGCTCTTTCAAGGTATTTCTCGCAAGTTTCTCCAGATTCTTGCTTAATGCCAAGCATGGCCATCTTGTATGATGCTGGCTTGTATCTCTCACTTAGAAGGTCTTTAAATCCTTGCAAAGTCTGGTATTGAGCAGGGTTTAGGGTCTGGAACCAGGTTCCTGCACTTCCGTCCAGCAAGCAGGGAATGTATTCCAGCACTGCATTGTCTGTGAGTTTGTTAAATTTCTGCCATGCAGTTAATTTTGATAGCCAAATGCATGGTGACTCACTTCCGTTAAACTTGTTTGGCTGAGAGGTCGTCATAATGGTAGGTTGAAGAGGAGTTATATTTTCTTCAGGAATGTCAGCTTGTATGCTGTTGTTGAATTGTTCAACACTGTGATGAGGATTCTGAGATTCCTCGGAAGATTCTGTTATGATGTCTTGATGATGGTTAAGTGATTCCTCAGAAGGTTGAGTTGATGATGGTGTTAAAGGTAGGTCATCACTCACTTGCTGATCATCTGCTTCCTCTGTTGAATGATATGCCCCTGTTTCAATAAGAATTCCAGCAGCGTTGTCTGACGTAGTTGTCTGTTGATGCTGGGACTCAGCGACAGTAGACTCTGTGTTGGTAGGTTCTTGTTCTGTCTCTGATGACTTCGATGTATTAATGAAGCTTGGGCTCCGCGGCCTCAGGTTGTAGTTCTGTGGTCTATTCTCTTTCATCCGGGACTATTAGGATGTCTGCACCAACTTATCACCGTGTTTTGGGGACTGTAGTGATAACTAAGATTTCTAAACCTGAAAAACAGGACAGGAGACAGTCTTAAAATTAAAGCTGTTTATTCGTGAATGTCCGTCGCAAAAGTGATCATTTACAATCATAATAAAAGATATAAAAACAATGATACTCTGTATAATTAAAATGAAAGTGTGAGATAATGCCACAAATAAGAACATGTGTTAATTAAACATCATCTCATGCACACACAATTCATTACAGGTATTATAACATGTCTACTGAATATCTTCATTATAAAAATAAATGAGTTAAAATAAAAATATATATTTAATATCAATTGGGAGAATTAGCTTGTAAAACATTTACTTGGCTATGAGAGGGGTATGAAAGGAATAGACCAAAAATAGAAAATTCACATGTTATTGTTTACAATGAGTCTACTTCCTGTATAGAGATTCTGACTTCCGGTCATACAAAAGGGGGGGGGGGTCCTAATGGACAAACATACAAAGAAACCCTAATCTACTAAATAAACACATTTACAGAAGAACCTAGTACATTTACCATATTCGGTCATTGACTACAAGTGCACATGTACTAAGCTTCATCCTACTAGTCTTGCACATGATTTTACAAACAATCAACACCTACAGCATGTATAATAGTTATGCATCATAAGAACATGTTTACTTACATAGATACTTTCAGCATTTTTCCTTTTTACAAACAATTAATAGAGTAGAACAGTAAAATCGACTGTGCGTTTACTTGTACAACAATGTTTTGAATACTAAATAGAAAACCAGTACAAAATAGATGCTAAATATCCGGAAAGTCCAAAACACTGTAAATTCGACAAAATGACTTCTTTCGAAAAACTCTATTATTCTAATACTAAAACTTCACTTTATACATGTAATTTGGTTTCCTGACACATACTTTCAAACATTAAATACAACATATGTTTAACTTCAGATTTGTGAAAAATAACATTTTGTAAGTATGAGATTTTTACTAACATGTACTAGTTTATCAACATGAACTATTAGACAAAATATAAAAATGAAAATAAAGGAAAATACAAAGTACAAAGTAAATCTACATTACCTGAAAAACAGGACAGGAGACAGTCTTAAAATTAAAGCTGTTTATTCGTGAATGTCCGTCGCAAAAGTGATCGGACAAAAACCCGATAGCGTCCCCTGTCCAGGTGTTGAGTTATTCTTGCCACTAATTATTACAAAAGGGCGTTAATCTAAAACGACTCATACTCGACATCAAACGGAAGATTAACAATAGGGCATTACGGCAAAATAGAATTTAAGTAATTAAGAAAACAAAGTTCCATTTGCGGAAAACTAAGAAAAGCACAGATTTTACACGAAAGGATGACACTAATTGATTTCACAACTTTTCTCAAGAAAACTGACAAAGGGCCTCAAGTTATTATTTCTTCTAAATCCAAAGCCATGAATTTTATTGCAGTAAATAAAAATACCAACTGGTAAATAAAAATTAATGAAATAAAAATAATTTGAAATTGATAATAAATTTATACTAAATTTATACTAAAAATAGAAAATATATCAGAGGGTCAATTTTACACTATGATATAACTACACCATAGGAAATGCCCATCACACATTAAGAATGGGAAAAACCCTTTGAAATCATTACCAAGGTTGACATGATTTTCTTCTATACACCCTTGTCTGTTTGATATGATAAACAATATTTGATGGGCGTATCATGAGCAGTGTTGGTGCACTTTTTTCTACAATGTTGCAACTGTCCATCCCAGTATAAAGGAAGTATTTTATTGTTTAAGTATGTCGTAACTGCTGCTTCTTTGTGCTCATGTGTACAAGTTGTTACAGGCTTTGTAACTCATGACCTATAATCTGAGCCTTCATTTTACAAATGACCTCAGATTCTGTGCCCACTTGATTATCTCGTAGAACTGTGATCTTGAACAACACACCTAACTGCTATGTAGAGATAATTAGCACTAATTCATAAGGTACGTAATCTACTCTAGCATCTAGGCTATTACTGCCACAATCTTGAGTGCAACCCTGTTGAAGTATTCTCATATGATATGTGGGTAAGGTTAAGGTATTCCATCCCTAATAGCAACAGATTCAATGAAATTGAATACATAACAGATGTGTATGGGTTGAATACTCGGTACATTTAGACATATAATTCCTATTTATTACTATTAGTATGTAAGGTTGGGATATGTGTCCTAATTTATGACCTTGAATTTCGGTAAGAGTTATCTCCCTCTGTTTTTAAAAAAAACTTATCCGGTAAAAAAAATTGTTTTCAATTGTCATTCTATATCTAATGTTTTAATGCATCCTTCAACCACAGTATTTATTGATATTCTTCTTATTTGAATTTTTATTAAAAAAAAAATCGCTTGTCCCCATAGACTTCAGTGCAATCTTTGATTAATTACTGCTTAGTTAATAACATTTTTGAAACTTTCTCTTGTTAAATCCCTTTCTGTAAAATGCTTTAAATTAATATCAGAGTATTATGTACATGATGGACATTTAAGGATAGAGAATTAGCACCATTAGGGATGGAAAACATTAAGAAAAAAGCCAGAATGAGTGTATATCAAGTCTCTAAAACAAAGATGAACACATATACTCCTGATATTTTTATGAACTTTATTGTTTTCTCATAGGCTGATTTACATTAAAATATGAAACTTGACCATGAAATACCTACAAAATATGAATTATTCATTATCAAAATGTGTAAAGTTTTCCAGATCATAAACAATTCACTCCAGTAAAACAGCAGTTTGATCTGTAAGTGTAATCTCGGGCTCTAACATCAACTGTAAGTTTTAATTAGTAATATATATTTATATATATATTTATATATAAATCTTAAATGTCTTCCACCATTTGCAAACTGACAAACTAATATGGAAAATTGTAAAAAGGGAATTTAACTCCTAAAAAAATTATTCTGACAACTTCCTGTCCACTGTAAACAGCAATGTTCAAGTTTAATGAATCAAATATATAGTTCTTGATAATAAATCTACCTCTAACAGAACAAAATACTACAAGAGTGTTATACTGACAAAGAAAATGGCGATTGTTTGACAAAAACTGGTCATCTACAATGTTTGATATAATAGGCGATGATAATTACACAACTGAAAGACATATATACAAATGAAAATGCAAAAATTAACATAGACAAAATTAAACAATTGTGCATATCATATTATATTCTTCTTTTAACAAGTCAAATCACATGCATAGTGTAGAGAATTTGCAGTGTAGCAAGGCACCTGTAGATAATTGGAATGCTTGTTTACAGAAGAGCAGTATAGTCCAATAAACTACAAAATAATGTCAGAAAATAAAATAAAACAAAGTCCATAAAAAATATAAGTAAAGAAATATTATTTGGAATGCATGTTTATTCCTATTTTGGAAGATAACATTGTAATAACACCATCTTATAAAGAATAATGAAGTAGCATCATCTAACACTGTCTTTTCAGCAAATATAATCTCCCTTGAACAAAGGGAGGCAATGAATAAAACCACAAAAACCAAGGATGTCTACACCGATGAATTGTTCTTGATGTAAAATCTCTTTGGCAATAAACATTGAAAACGAGTATATTCTCTTTAATTATGCTATTTGTTGTTGGAAAGATTTGGAGTATCATATTATTTAATATCAATAAAATCCTTCAGAATTTTATTTTCATCAATTTGCACTTGGGCTAGTAGACCATATAAACTTAAAATCACCATCAAAACTTTTTATATGGTCTGATAAAAAGTTTATATTTTATTGCATGTAAATTCATCTCAAGTTTTGATTTAAAAACATTTTTAAAATCTCATAATTCTAGAAATCTCATAATTCTAGAAAATCTCAAGTCATTATAATTTACGAAGAATGTCTATAAACAGACAAGTAAATGGACCGAGTAAAACAAATACTGATAAAAAATGTGTAGCACTTCAAAAAAAGAAGAAAAAAAATACAGAGACAATCGTCAAACAATGATTTTCTTCTAAAAAATTCATTTCATTGATCCATCCACTTAGTTAAGAAGTAATATAATTACAAATATAAAATTCATTGCAATCAAGGCTTTTTTCCCACCCATAGATTGAGTGGATCATCACAAAGCACACAGAGTTATGTAAAGCCTAAATAAAAATACTGCAAACAAAGTCCTTAAGTATATCCTTTGCTGTAAATCTGTGCAAAATGAGAATTTCCTTCTGTGATATTGCCATTTAGTCTGATCCATCTTCCACAGATGGATTAAATACACTATGGATGATAGGGTATTAAAATAAAGTCTACATCGATGAAGACGCGTCATTATATACAATAAATAACATATATAACAAGAACAATGAGATATATATATGTATATATATATATATATATTTTGATAAAGTTAACAAGGCATGATGAATAATGGAAAACCTAAAAATAGAACGAATCTGTAAAGCACATATGAAAATGAAAGTAAGTGATGCATCTTTGATCATTCACCAGTACACAAGAGATCAATGGTTGACATGAGGCTATGAATGAGGTCAAGGCCATGGCAACAAGATTATGGCCGAGTACTGATGATAAAGCAGTTTCTTAGATGACACAATCCATTTCTTTAATCCATGTTTTCACAAGTTCTATCAAAATACAGGATATATTCAACATATTCCAAGGACTCTACATTTTCACTGGCCTGTTTCTTGCAGACATTCTGCTTAGCAGCCTGAAAGTAAATGCAAATTGCGGTCAATTTGCTTTATGAAATATGCAAATAAAAAATCACTGGCCATAGATCAAATGAAAATACACCTAATACAAACCTTGTGAGACACTCGAAATTTAAACGCACTGCTAAAATACTTTCCAATGGGAATTTGCCACTGTAAAAGAAAGAATACATGAATTTAAAATTTTCACAACAAAAACATTTTATTTGCTCTCCAAATTATGACCTTACATTAAATATACAGTAATAAAGTATAAATGATAATTAAATTAATAGATTTATTTTTTCCTGACCTCGTTTGGTACTCCTGCTCTCATTTCTCCAGGAACATTTGGGTTACAGTTCCTTGATGTGTGGTTATAACAAAGCGTTGCTGAGGATTGCTCTGATGTCCTACAAACAGATTTCAACATTTTATTAATGAAGAAAATTTAATGAAGAAATTAATAGATGTTTGGAATATTTCTTACAATTGTATAATGCAACAAATTTGGACATTCAATCTAACAAGCTGATACAACACATCAAATGAATGTAAAAGTACTAAGATCTATTTACCTTTACCTCAATAAGCCATCACTTAGAAAGCATGCATGCACATGTATGAATAAATTTCACCTGAATTACATTTTTATAAAAAGACACAATATAAACTTTGGTATCCATCTTCATTTGAAAACATAAAATGCAGCAGTTGTTAAATAGATGATATTATAATACATGTAATATCTCTCCTGTCATTAAGACAATTGAACTCCATGTTTCAGACAAATCTGAGCTGCTTAACAAGTCTGCAGAGCTGCTACATGTATGACATGCCTGAACTGCCATCGCAACCCTGAATTGCTAAGACATGTCTGAGCTGCTATGACACGCCTGGGTTACTATGACAAGTGAAATATGCTATGGCATGTCTGAACTGCTATGACTTACCTATGACATGTCAAGTATGACCTGCTAAAACATGCATGAGCTTCTATGACATGTAAAATCTGCTATATACATACGTAGCTGAACTGCTAAGACATGCATGACCTGCTATGATATGCCTGAGCTGCTATGACATTTCAAATCTGCTATATACCTGAGCTGCTTGGAATTGCCTGAGCTATTTGATAAGCCTAGACTACTATGTGCCTGACATGTTATGACACATCCTGACCTGCTCAATATACCTGAGCTGCTATTATATGCCTGAGATACTAATGATACACCTATACTCATGTGATAGAATTATAACAAGTTCACTAAGTCACAAAATGGTTATGCCTGGCATTCAGAAATAACCTTAATCCCTCAAATTACCATTTCTTTGAAAAATCAATCAAAATTCAAATTTTTGTTAGAACTTACAGGAACTTGAAGGTGATCAAATCATAGGAGAAGTACTGGCTGAGTTTGAGCCGGAACACTTTATTTGTTGGTGTACAGGCTGTGCAATGCTCTTCTGTAATTGTTACATTGATCTCCTTGATGAAGATATTTGTGTGTAAGTCTTCTGCAAAGTACAAATATATGAAGCATGAATATTACACATGAGTGACTGTAAATATGGATATTTATGCATTAATGTTATAGGTAATTCAGCAGCACTAACAATATGTAGGGGTGGGGTGGGGGGTTTACTTAATATATTGTAAATGCTGAATAAGATACATATAATTATAAATGAATTATAGTCATATGAAAAATATTTCCACTAATGATTTCTTCTCACATATTTAGTAATAATTAGCCCCCCTCCACCCACCCCCACACAAATTTTCATGTTCAAAGTATACTGTACATTTTCCAGTACATGGTTATATATTCATATTATGAATATATACCATGTAAACCAACATGATTTATTTTGGTGTGTTAAAGAGAGTCAACCTTCTGAATCTTTAATTATGTTCATAGTTCATGAATCTTTGCTTGATTGAACTTAATGAATGTTCATAAAGAATTCTCAGTGAGTTCCCACTCATTAAATAGACTAGGTATCTAATGTCAAATCCTGGCTGTAACCACCTTACCTTGTGGAACACTGCGGCGCTGTCGGAAGTGAACCACTTTTAGAGCGTTGGAGTCCACATCACCAGGTTGATCCTGTTGTTTAACCTCAGGTATCATGTTGGACTCGTTATTGTTAATCAAGTTGATCAACTCAGGGTCATCCGTCTTTGGACTTAATGTCTAGGGAAAAAAAATAAAGGAAAATTTACTTATTATTCTTGTATTTATTCATATTCAAATTTTAGCACAAATATGTTCCATTTATGATTTGCAAACCCTGCAAATAAAGCAAGATTTACAAACCCATACTTATTAAGTCTGGACTTAATGTCTAGGGAAAAAATAGTTGAAAATTTACTTATTTTTCTTGTTTTTATTCATAGTCAAATTTTAGTACATAAATGTTCCATTTATGATTTGCAAACCCCTGCAAATAAGGCAAGAATTACAAACCCCTGCAATAAGTCAATTTCTGATAATTTTCTAGGATTTTTAATTTTTTTTTTCAATTAAGATTTTTCCCATTTCCAAATCACATGTATACACCACATATTAACCTATATAACCAAGAAATTTGTTCTTTATTAGTAAGCAGCTACAAATCAACAAAGCACATGACATTAATGCTAGATTGTAGTGAAGGAGACTTACATTGATGACAACCTCCGGACTCTCCGTTGTCGGCCGTGGCATGATAGAGGGTGCAGGAGGGGTAACTATAATAAACAAACACAGTCTGGTGTCAAATTAATCCTTGTACAAAAAATCAAACACTTTGAATATAAAACAAAAATTATTACATCTGATACAGCAAATTGAAAAGATGAAGTAAACAATATGACTTAAAAACAGCAAGTGTATGTACAGTCAAACCTGTATTAAGCAGTCACCTGCGGGAATCATTAAAAGTGACCTTTAAAGAGAGGTGACCTTTGAATAGAGGTTCATCTTTTTCAAGAAAAATTCTTTTCCAATTTATGTAAGTTCTGTGTTTTACAATACTACATCATAGAATATTTAAGAAAGATGTTTATAAGACATCAATGGTCTCACTAACATTTTTTTTTTTTTAATAAATTTTAAATAGTATGCCTCAAGATTAAGTTCAAGCTAAATTTGATGACTCCAACAAAAATATATTGAGTCTAATAGGGCATTGCATTATCCTCCGTCCAAACAACTACAAAACTTTCCATTATTATAAGAAATTATCACGTAATGTCATGAATTAAATATGATGTATTTTTATCTAAACTGCATCTTAAAAAAAACATGTTTAGTTACATATTAAACTTAACAATTGTATGTTTAAAAATACATAAATCATTGCATAATAAACAGAAAAGTCATATGTACTCTTAGTTGATCCAAGCAGTGCACAATACAAATTGATATCAAATTCACAGGTGTTGTGAGCAGTGAAGAGTGACTAATCCTAACGGTCGTCTTACATAGGTGAAAATCACGAGATAATCAGGACACATTGTGTATACAAAACAGTTAATTAGGGTTTCTACATGCATTTACACAATAACATCTATTGGAGTTGGGCATGCCAAACGTGAACTAATAATTAGGAAACACCTTAATATTGTAGCCATTAATAGATAAATTAGAATGCGTTTCTTTTTTAAAATATCACTCAGAAATTTTTTAAATCAGATTCCAATTCTATAATCTAAGATTCTCATAAGTTTGTTTTCCTGATAACTATTTCATTCATTAGCACCCTTGTTTGAGTTTTGTTAAAAGAATAAATAAATTATCCAATATTTTAAATGGTTTTAATTAGGCCAATTTTTTTCGATGATCTCGCTACACTAGACTAATTATTTACATTAGTGACAGTAATTGGGAGTCACCTGGCTCTAGATCTGGTCACGTGATTGAACAAAATGGCCACTATATACAAGGTAAAACGATGATTTTACATGAAATTTGATGACCGCTGACCGCGTTACGCAGGTGACTGCTTAATAGAGTTACATTATATATGAAAATTCATTGGGAGGAAATAAAATGACCGCATAGAACAGGTGACTGCTGGATAAAGGTGATCGCTATGACAAGTTTGACTGTACTTGTCTAATAGAGCTTAGCATTTACTCTCTTTTACTTTCTTGGTCCGCAGGTTGAATAGACAAGGGGAAACCCCCGACTTACTAGTCTGGACTTCATGGCCACTGATCACCATCATACTGGTGACCACTTCCTCATCAAAGGGCAGTGGCGGGGGACAACAGTGCCTCTCACAAAGTGAAGCAGTAGGGTCACAAGGGGGATAAGGCGGTATCGTAGACCAAACTGGTGAAAAAGAATTTATAAAAAAAATTGTATAAAATACTATACTTACAGATGCTATAAGCGGGATTTACTGGAAGGGTCTGGGGTTCATCCTCTTGTTCTGGAGGGGGGCAGCATTTTCTCTCACAAAGCTGTGTGGTAAAGTCACAGGAAGGGTAGGGTGGGAGGTGGGTAACCAGTTTGATAGGAGTGCCTGCTGTGTTGGGGGGAGGAAAATTATATTGAGTGATAATAATGGAATGTCATGAATGGATGCAAAGGAAAGGAATTTTCTATTAGAAAATGATTGACTGCGGGAAATTTTTGCAAGGAAAACATTTTATGCAAATGAAGCATCTTATTTACTTTAAGAAAATGTTTGGAAAATAATTTCTCTAGCTTACTGAACACTCATTGACAACAAATTCATGCATTACTAATGCAGCTTAAAGCATACACATCATCAGATGCAAATGCATCTTACACCTAAATTTCCCACAAATTACCGATTTAAAGTAGTTTTCAGTCCATTTACATTAATTTTTCAAACTGCCTAGCTATCACAGAATCATGTCTCTTACATTTTATATAATAAATTTTTTAAAAATTAATCATGTTGACGACTTACTCATCCCTGTGTCTGGAGCCTTCGTCTTACTGGGCAACGTCGTCCCTGATGGCTTTACAGAAGTTTTGCCTCCTACATCATCAGTAGAAGGGCTGTAAAAAAATAATTAAAAGGCCGTCAACATGATGTCATATAGGTAAAGGATAATAATGTATAAATCTCCACCACAATTCTCTTGATAGGACTATTTTGTAAGCAACAGAGATTTTATATTTGGGTCCTTGTTAACTGTGAGATTCACTTACATCTTATTTCCAGCCAGATTCTGACTTAGAGGATTGTGTTTTGGTTCTTTGGTCTGCTCCAGAATCAACAAGATCATAAGAGATGCCAAACTGAAAGGGAACATATGGAATACTTAAAACCATTAATTGTTACAATACATATCACTGTAAGGATAAGCTTTGTAACAACTATTGAATTGTCCTGGATGACAGAAGATTGGGCAGATTTTTCTTATCAATACAAAGTTTGTTTTTTCCAATTCAACTTTTTGATTTTCATGGTACACATGATGCAATTATTAAATATCTTTAAACAAGCATATCAGTATCAGAGAAGTGACCTTGAATGAAAGATTCTCCTTGTATATAAAGTCTATCTCAGAGTTATAGTTAAATTGAAATGTACCAGAAGGTGATAACGATGCTGATGATGGTTCCCCAGCAGACATAGCGGTTTCTACAGTAACCTTTTTTACAGTGTCCTTTCTGAGGTGGCTGGGCTGCGTATTTCTGGCTGCTTTTACATGTATATGGATGTTGATGTGAATGACTACAAATTCGTGATGATTTCTTGGGTGATGATGATCTGTCAAATTAAGAATAATAAAATTTGCAAATTCTTTTCACCTGGTTCTCTTTAAAAATTTTTGTTATAAAGGTTGATTACGTACCCTATTGTACTAACACTACATGTTGATTTTGTACTGACGGTGGACTTCACACTGTCATACCGCTTTAATTTTGATAATTTCTGGTTCATTTTTTCCAGTTCATCAATTCTAACTTCTAAATTTCCTGTCACTTTGCACAGTTCTTTGACAGCTCCAACATTTTCCATGTATATTTTGTCCTGCAATCAATGAAACAATTCAAATTTAGTCAAATTGGATAATAATCCATTTCTTGTATATTTTTTTTTAAATTTCCTCTGTAGTACCAAGCAATTGCATTAGATATGGAATTTCACAAATTATTAGTGAAATTTACTCTATTTAGACTGTGTGCTTAAGTTTTGATGCACAAAACTATCATGTATCTTACTTTAAATTGGACAAATACACTGGACTTACAAAACTGTTACATATACATACTTATGATTTATCCTAAAGTAAATTATTTTTTAATTATGAGATGATGTTTTATTAGTTCTTTTAATTCAATCTTTAATCCTAAAAATTAAAAAAAAGTTCTTAAGAGAGTACAAAAATGTCGATATAAATATAAAATATTATAGAAACCATATCACACTGTATTATATTATGTTACAGAAGTGATTGCAGATACTTGTATCACTTCATCCCTTTTGTACAAATGCTTAATATAGAATCAAAGAATCTTCTCCATCCCTAAATGAAGTAATCCTACAAGTATGTACGAGTTCATACCTATGAGATGTATGTGTTCAAACCAATGAGTATTTATGTGCTTATACCAACGGGATATATGTGTAAAATACCTATGAGTATTTATTTGTTCATACCTACAAGCTGTATGTGTTCATACCAATGAGTATTTATGTGTTCATTCCAATGAGTATTTATGTGTTCATACCAGTGAGTATTTATGTGTTCATACCAGTGAGTATTTATGAGTTCATACCTAGGAATATGTATGTGTTCGTACCAAAAAGTATGTATATGTTCGTACCAAAAAGTATGTAGGTGTTCGTACCAAAAAGTATGTAGGTGTTCGTACCTTATTAACAACAAGGAAGTCTTTGATAACTTCTCCGTTCTCCAGCGGAACATCCCCCGCCTCTTTGACAGCGTCTGGGATAACCTCCTTGATTTCCTGAGCGATGACCCCTGTATCGTGCCGACTGTCCTCGGGAATTCCCATGGCATTGGCAAAATCATCGCTGAACTTGTAGTTATATAACTTGATGGCTGCTACTTTTTTCAGCTGCTCCTTAGAGTCCAGCTGCCAAAAAATAGTCATATTTGTTAAATGTTAATGAAGGGAGTAGGCAAAGAAAAGTCTCTTATAGCTTAAAAAAAAAATTAAAAAAAAACAAAAACATTTTTCATCCTTCAATTGTTTTCATATTGTTGTACCTCTTGGAGACAGGATATATTGTGCTCTATGTTGTACCAAAAGAGGACTTATTATTTACTTTTATTTGATTGTGTGTGTCTGATTTTTATGTGGTGTCTGTTTATGACCTGAATTTGCATTTCTGCAATGATTTTTTTTCTTTAATCCTCAAAACACATATATTTTTTCTTTAATCAAGCTTATATAACCTTTAATTGAATTTAAAAAAAAGACAACTGATGTTTGCATTTATGAATATTAATGTGTTTTCTGCAATTTCATTGTGTAATTTTGCTATGCACAAGAACCACTAAATCTCATACTTGTCTATTATCATTTTACGAAATACAATTCTTAAATTCTGTTCCAAACAAACTAATTATCTTCTAATGATTACGTTCTTCGCAATACACTGTGAATACAGCTTTTGAAAATTTGCACGACAAAGAAAACCTACACACAGACATATATTGGACTGTGTATACATCTGTCCACCTCCAAGAATGCGTAAGAGTGTGAGGAGTGGGGGAGAGGTCAGAGCAGATAATAATTTTACATATGATTTTTTTTTTATCTTAACATTTACTTTCTCACAAAACATAGCGGCATTAAAGTATGCATGCACTATTGCACTTGGCCTGAAGCATCTGCAGACATGTAATATGCCAAGAAATTCTTCTAAAAACCTGGCATTAAGAATTATAAATGGCTTCAAGAAGAATTACTTCATAGAGAGCCTGCACTACCAACCACAAACGAATCTTATCACTCTACATGCGTAACAGACACACAGACTTGACCTACAATACTGTCTTGAATATTTGCATAACCTATCTGCCAGCAGGAAAAATTGTTTAGAAGGAAATTTTTCATCCTTGAATAATGATGCTGTCAAAAATAATGGCTGTCTTTTGTTTGAGAGGATAAAGGCTGTATTAACCGCAGAAATGGTTTTTTGACTGTCCTTACACATGTACAGGTCTAATTATTTTCACTTAAATATTCATATTGTTTAAGAAATCTATTTCTTTTATTTCTTCATCATTGAGCCATATTGTATTTATTTTATCTTAAAATCTGAACTTAATAAAAATGACAAGTCATATTTACAGTAAAAAATATGTGTAAACAGTAAACATCTGGTAGGTTTTATGCTAACATTGATGGCATATTGTGTACAGTAAGTACTATTAACATTTACTTTTTTTTTTCCTTTTGAAAAGGGGGGGGGGGATTAAAACAAACAGTATATACAGCTTCTACCAATATATTTCTCCCCATAAATCAAATGTATAAATCCCTCTAAAATTAGTATACATACTTAATCAGTAATTTGTAATGAGAAAAAAAATCAAAATGCAGAAATGGCTTTGCTATTATACAGTCTAGTACTGTTTTCATAACAAACTCTAATAAAAAGGGTTCCAACAAGAGTGGGGTGGCCACTGGAATAAAAGAGAGTGTTATTGAGTGTACCTCTTTGAGATCTTCCTTGGCCCTGAGATCTGAGGGTTGGAGAAGGTGACCGGTCAGTCTCATGTTTCCGTGGACAGTTAATGCCTCCTCAGGGTGCTCTGTGTTGACCCCCACTCGCCCCACATGATACACACTGTCTGGGGTCTGCCCCTTCTGCCAGGTTACATCCATATCATTATCAAACTGACCAGGGTTTGATGCCTGGAAAAAAAGTCAATCATTGTTAATAAAAATGTCTAATATCATTTAGGAAGAGTAGAAACATGAGTAGAAGGACCGCACAGTGAAATCTCAGTTATCAAATACTGTATCAGAAATGCTGTGAGCTACACAACTACCAATATTTCTCTGCATTTGATTTCAAAAGGGACTGTCCTATCCTTAAAGATTCAAATTTATGCTTTTATGAAGAAAGATGATGCTAACCCTGACAATGATTTTCTCTGACACACTGGCTGCTACAATATATTTATACTCCCCACTGTAAGCATACAAAGTGACCACCAGCATAAAATAGCGCTGATCTGGGTTGGGGCGACCCTTCTTACGCATATTGTTGGAGGTCGTCTCGCTAAAATGAAGCCTTCCTACTGTTACTTTGTTAGTCTGTTCTGGTATTAGGTCCACCCTACAACAAAATATCAACAATGCAATAAAATATCACCTTTTGAAAATTCATTTGAAGATTTCAGTACACCTGCCTGAGAGAATGATAATCCAATCCAAAGGATTTTCTACTTAAGTATAATAATGTGGTCCCTTTTACACCTTTATTTTACCAGTTAAATATGAACATACAGTATTTTGTTTATTTTTCATTAGGTATAATGAAGTATTTACAAAGACTATAATGTCTTGGTCTAAAAACTGCAACTGTGTATATTCTGAATTTTTACTCTCTACAATCCTTGACAGGGAAACAGATTTCTCAAAACACATTTTGAAGATTGGCATAAACAGTATTTTTTCCAAAAATTTTCTCAGACCTGTGGAAGAATTTACTGGACATTTTTTTTTTTCATGACTAACAACAAATTGGGATTGTGGTTTACCTGACTGGGTTGAAGGGTTTCTTGCTGCGGTCAGACTGCGACTGTTCCACCTTTATAGTCTGGGTGGGAGATTCCATCTACAAGACAGACGTAAAAAAGTCAGACATCAGATTAGTTCAAAAAATTTGTTTTAAAGAATTACCAGTACAACAACAGGCCCCATCCATTTCAGATTGATTTATTGGAAATAAAGCTTGTTTTAATGCAATATAAATACAATATACCTTAACTTTGCTATGTACCTTGATTCCATTAAAATGGAGATAGAAGGCATCGATTTTCTTAACTCCCTCTGGAGTTGTGACATAGCGGGGGTCCCCAGACACCTGCATGTGAACTGTCACCTGAAAATGGTTCTTTTTCTGGCAGACAAAAGAATCATCAGGCTGCGAAAAGTTAAATCCTTTGTCTGCATCTACACGAAAGTTTGGCTGTGGTCTGCAACAGCAAAGAGTACAATATTATACACACTGTACTATCTATTCACTTTATGTGTCAAAATACATGTATATCATCATTAAACAAAAGGTTTTCCAAAGAATCCAAAAATATTACTACATCTGCATAGTATATCATATCTAACCCAGTTTGTTGTGCAAACTGACTCTGAGCACTATTTTGAATATTCCTGTATTATGATGTTCTTTAAACCATGTAATTATTTTAAGTACAAAACACATCTGCTTTAAATAAACAGGTGATGCATTAGTTTTAAGCATTATCCTGCACAATTCTATTGCAAAGAGCCTGTGTGTATTTTCCACATAAATATGCTTGTAAATGAAATGAGTCTCTCAAGATATTGCCATACTGAATATTAATTGCATATTTTAAAATACAGTCAAACCTCATTATCTCGAACTCGATGGGACTGAGAAAAAAATTTGAGATATCCAAGGATTTGAGACATCAGGGGTTAAAACTTAAAGAATAAGTGGTCAGGACTTCTACATCACTTCGTTATATCCATGGTATTTGAGATATCAGTGTTAGAGATACCGAAGTTCAACTGTATTAATATTTCAAACACCCTCACACAAGTCCACTTACAAATCTTTGAGATTTTCATTTTTCAGTGTGGCCCAATCTCTCTGATTAAAGGGAGACCACTTGATGACCTGATAGGTACTGTCTAAGTACCCAGGGGTTCCATTTGTACTGTCCTGTTCATATCCGAACTCGTCATCACAGTCCACGGCAAGGTTATAGCTCCCATAACTCGGACCTGTAGTGAGAGGCAGAAAATAAGGCACTCTGATACATTAGAAAATATTGGACCTGTATTGAGAGGCATAAAATAAGGCACTCTGACACATTAGAAAATATCAATGGCGATAATGTAATCTTTGTCATCTATATGACTTTCCCTAAAGCATAAAGTGGTGTAAATTTTTCTGAAGCATGAAGTCACATATTTTTATGAACCATTAAAGTTACTCAGGCATATCTCTTATGCCTTACTTTTTTAAATTTCCTCTGAAAATCTTTAAACTAAGCAAATGCTTGTTTTTACTTTGTTTTCAGTAACAAATAATAAGAAAAAGGGTTGAATGTGGAATCTAATATGAAAGTCTTAATATACCATTTGGCTCTTGTTTTATATTCAATACATTTCGGCCATTGAGGAGAGCATTGGTTACAAGTGCACTATGGGAAGGCTGTTCTTGGTACTTCCTTTTCTTGTGACTCATGTTACAAGCATTGGGGCTGTAAAACAAAGACATTTATTAATGTTAAGTTTGTCAAATAAAACTACAATCTATCCTTCAACTTTATATTTGCTTTTTTTAGGGATAAGAAAAGGAAAGTTAGCATCTTTTTTTTCATATTAGTTATATGCACTTACACCTATGAAGTTAAAGTTTGTAAGAAGTAAAATATATTTCTTTTAATGATTTGACAGTTTAAACTACTAAACAATAACATGTGATAATCTTGGATTTTAGGTGAAAAGAAATAAATCATTCACTGAAATTGTGAATTGTCTCTTGAAAGCATTTGATTTCTGAACTAATATTTTGATGCAATTCATTAAACTTGTCCAAATTTTTGTGTAAATAGGGAGAAGAGACACATGCATCATCTTTAAAATGACTGGTCTGTAACATTAGAACCTAATGACTTTGATACACTTACAATGAAGCACCATGATTTCTATATATATATACATTTTTAGAGCTGGTTAATGTCTAACCTTTAAGTTGAAGTCCATTTCAGTTTTTTTAGCATCAAATTATCAAAGTAACAGATGATATTAATTATCCGAGACATTGGTACAAATGCAATCTTAGTAAATTAACTATTGTTAAAGTGGTATTCGGTACTACAAGTGTGCCATTCAAATGATGCCACGCACGGTCAGATTGACAGTGATTTACCTAACTCTTATGCACCTGATGGACGTGACACGATTGAACGGGACGGCCATTATTAAGACAGGTACGGATAATCTGTACCAATGAATATCAAATTTGCTCAATATTTGTTTATTTAATTCACCGAGCTTAAATTCAGTATTTCCTTATTGAGTTCTTTCATCCTATGCATAGAGATTCACTCGAGGGATTCAAGGGTCTTGTACAATCTTAATTGATATGAGTACTCTTTTGAAGTATTATGAAGTCATTTCCTCTGCTAGGCTATACATCAGAATAGTACATGTAATATGATTCTTCTTGCCCACACTTCATCTATGTATTGAAAATTTAGAGAAACAGGGTTTCTTTTTTTCCTTCTGGGTTACTTTGAAACTCATGATACTACACATTTTATGAAATAAAATAGGAAAAATACCAATATCAATTCACACCCTCTTCCGTAAAAGTAATTTTAATTAATCAAACTTTAAATGTAGTTTATTTAAGCAGCTATTTGAGTAAGAACACATTAATTTTCCAAATATTACCTTATCCTTTATTGGGGGGGGGGGCAATTTTAGGTATGTTGCTGGAACCATTTAAATAGTTAATATTTCAGGCATTTTCCTCAACATTTGCTAGACATTTTAATTTCTCAATATAATCAACCTACACCCAGAACTCCAAATATATCCCAAAGACTTGGCTATATAATAGCCCAATGTGTTGACTTCTAATCTCAGAATTGGAAGCCCCCTCATGTCCAACATATCACTACAGGTTTATAGTATGAAATCTCTTGTATTACATGCTTAAATGTACCATACATCTATATGATTTTCCTACAATTTTAAAATGACTTTAAAGTGATTGTGAACTATGAATTCCTACCTAGAAATCTAATGGAGATACAAATTTGACCATGACCCTGTCAAAATGACCTAGTTTTAGCATCGATCATGACATATCCTCTGATAATAATCTAGTACATGTATTATGCAAAACAGGAGCTGTTCATGTTTCTCCATAAAAAAGTAATAGATTGGATAGGAAATTTACATTTCCAATATCTGCAACCTTGACCTGGTCTATATAACCTTGCCTGAGGACCATGACTCACCCTGAATTGTAGCGATCTCATTTTTCCATGAAACAAATATGATTTAACAAGAATTTTACATTTCTTATCCATGTTACCTTGACATTGTCCAAATGACCTTGAATCTGGGTCATGAAGAATCCTCTGGTTACAAGCTATTTTGTGCCAAGCATGAGGTATTCACTGACATGTTTTCTTCAAAGTTATGGGCAAGTTAAGTTGTGGACAAAGCGACAGACACACAAAGACAAGAGGACATAGAGCCTAAAAAAATTTTGCCCTGATCTTAAATCTTGGGCCCATAAAAATTCAGATTTGATGATTATCTACATTTGTATCAGAATTATACAATTTTTAGGTGGTTGATAAAAGGCTTACATGGAAATATGCCTTTTATATCCTAAAAAAAACCCTCACATTTACTTTAATATAGGATTGCTGAGTGTTTAAAAGATGCTTCCCATAAATTATTACAAGTATTTTGACCTTCATTTATGTCTGCCTAAAATTTCTAAATTAATTAGTAATACTAATACACAAACTTAATTTGACTTCTCTTTGTTTGTTTGCAGCTTACCAATTTATTTTGATGGATATTTTTATTGAAAATACAGTATGGACTTTTAACAGACAATATTGCATACCATATACAATTTATCCATTTTGACCTGATTTGACAGGAATTTGTTTCTTTCTTCAAATATTTGATGAAAATTCTTTGTTCTTTTTTATTAGATTTTCTCTTCTCAAAGCTTTTTTTTTTGCTGAGATAAGCTTTTCTATTATACCTAAGCATTTAATTACAATCTACCTTAAACAAACTACACCTTTATTATTGCATTTTACCTGTAAAATTACGAAATACTTGAGATATTTATAATATTTGCTTTTCCAGTTTATATCTGTTTACATATGAAATATTTATATTTATGTATACATGTATATCTTTAGATTCAGTATCTTTTTTTCGGAGATATAATTACCTGGCGTTGATTACATTTACCTGAGATAATGTACATGTTTACCTGAGATGGTTTGGTGACAGAGAAAGCTGAGGATTCATCTGGGAGGTGGAGAGAGGTAGTGAGGAGGTCTGGGGGGGAGGAGGGTGTGTTGCTGAGAGATGGTTTAGGGTTGGAGGTTCGTTATACCCTGGTGGCATGGACTTTGGTCCTGTTGGAGGCATCCCTGGGGGTCGAGGGTGGTGTGGATACATGCTGTGTTGATGCATTGACGTCACTGGAGTACTCAGCCCGTATTTGCTTTCTGTAAAATAAGCCACATTGGAATCTGAGTCTAATATCGTATAACACAGAGGGGTATGTCTGTCCTTAACTTCCTCAGATGTATTACTGTACATAGTTTATATTTCCCCCCAAAATCCAGAATTCTACAGCATACACAAAATCCTTGTGGCTGAGTGAATATTTAATGATATCTGTTACTTTCACAGGTTAATAAATTAATATCCACTAAGTTATTCTCAAGAAGCACAATCTTAAAAAAGTTTTTAACACAAAGAATATACTTTTGTGATCCACACTTGAATATGATCAGTCTGAAAATATCCATTTTTATCAGATATTCACAAAGCAAGAAATAAAAATTGAAATGGTCATGCATGCTTGATAATTTAAATCAATGTTAGATGAAATAAAACTTGTATCATATGAATACATTTTTTTTTAAAGTTTGATTTTAATCAATATTTTCCGCTAGAGGTCCATTACAATCCATAGAAAAGGAAGATTAAATCAAGACACTAATTCTTTGCATTTAAACAAGACCAATGAATTTTCCATTTCCGCTAAAATGACTTGGGTTCATCAATTAAATACGTTACTGATCAAGTTAACAAAAGAAAACATAAAATCAGATATCAGACTCTAAAATGATCTGGTGTTCAGCCCAATAATTTAGAACACCAGCAAGGTAAAACATAGGGTCAAAAACAGACAGACTCATGGACAACACATATTAAATATACTGATATTCAATTACTATAAAAAAAATCCAAAATGTCTTGCTGATACACACTGAGGCATTGAATAACCAGTATATCAAAAGGATACTGAATGTAAATTATACTGTGACAGGAACAAAATAACATTGGAATAACCAATCTACATTAACAAAAAATTAGCAATGGCACTCATCCGGAAGCTTGTACTTCAATACTATATACATAAAAACAAAGCAATAGATTTTTTTCAGTACTTTTCAAGTGCTTTATTCAAGCATGTTATTCAAACCCCCAACAGAACTAGGCTACAACAAGGACATTCACAGCATTATAATTACGCAATTATTTTAGCTACCGTACAGATCGGACAACTCTTCGTGCTACCTCTTGGTATGTCATCTTAAATAAAAGGTCAATATATCATAATGAATTAATGACCTACCCTGACACACATAACTTAAGGAGATCCAGCTCGTTAATTCCTCCGTCTTGCCCTCAACTTTGAACAATGCCATCCAATGCAGAAATTAGCATTAATTACAGTATCACGTAATTCGTTATTGATCATGAAATTTCCAGGCAAATGATTTCATGACTTTTGGAACATTCTTATACAAATGTCCAAGAACAATAATTTCTAATGCAAAAAAAAAAAAATATCCATGAACATATGTCCTCTTTAAGTTAAGAATAGCGTATGTCAGATTGAACAAATCTTCATTTTTCCATGCGCTTGGTTCTGGACTTTGACAATACTGATGTAGTGCTAAAAGGACTTTATCAAGGCAGTTCAAAATTCAAAAGACTTTCCTGTTTTTCAGTCAGAGAATCTCATAGATTCATATGAGTTTTTTTTTTGTCTTTCCTGTGCAATGTACACACAGGGTGTGGTAAAATTGAACATTTTTCTCCATATTGAATTATTCAGCTTTTTTATAGAATCAAAATCACTTAGCATTCCATAATAGAGCATAAACAACTCCACAGAAAATCCATTACATGTATTCAAATAAGACAGGTTAAACAAACTGTTAAGGACAAACTCCAAATAGAGAATGGCAATTTCTTTTAAACGAAAAAAAGCAACATTTGGATGAAAAAGGTATTTGCAAACCCAATCCTACAACACATCCAATCTGTCAAGAACTGTCTTAAAATTTAAGCCTTATGCATGTATACCCTTAAAATAAACAAAAAAATAAATGTTGATTTTTTTTTTTAACAAGAATAATTGTTATTGTATACTGGAGAAGAAAAAAATCTCAGATGTCTTGCAAACTGCAGCACACTTTAATATGAAGTGTCACAAAATTACTAAGAGAAAAAAATATAAATTAATTGAATAAGGACAAGTTTGGCATTACTTTGTTTACACAATTTCAGACGTCAACAAAAGAATGAAAATGCCATACAATATGACTTCCATAGCTGATGCAATCAGAAAAATTCACTCATTGACGATATTCCTTTGCACTGGAGGGGCTCTAGTTTTATGTAAACATTAAAAACCTAAAGTTAGACTAAATTCCTACCTCTAGCTTAAGTAAAATTACATTTTTTTAAAATGCACACCTGTAGGCATTGGTTTTATCATAAAACTTACAAGAGACAGAGATAACTTAACGTAATAAATAAATTAAAACAGAAAACAACATGGAAGAATTATTTTTCTACATTAATGCTAGTTTGTCATACTTTTTTCAATCATTTTCATTTTAAATCAAATTAATATTCAATTATAAATTTATTACATATCAATAACACTTTTCATAGCTACTTGCATGTACAATGTATTTAATCTTATTCATCCAAAAAAAAAAAAAAAAAAAAAAGAAGAAGAAGAAAAGAAAAGAAAGAAAGAAAAAGTTTTTAAACCAGTATTTTTTTAAATTTATATTGATACTAGCATAAATGCCAGGATCAAATAAATAATATATAATTTTTGCAAATCAGATACTTTAATGATAATCTTCTCCCAAACTTTAATTAACATATTTTATTACAAAAACAGTGATTGCATATGCTTAAATATCAGGTAATTTTTTTTTCTTACTTGCAAGAATTTTTTTTTTTTTTAGTTTTTTTCTCTCTTTTTTGATGGTGACTCAGAACAGTTTTTTTTTTTTTATAAATGTAGATTTTTTTTAAAGGGTACTGCTTAAAAAAAAAAAAATCAATGAAAACCAAAAAACAAGACAAAACAAAAAACAAAAACTCCAAAAACAAAACAATACCAGAACAACAACCGTCATTGCTAAATAATGGTCATATCCTACAGAAGCTGTGGAGTACTTATGGATCAACTATAATCTATGCACATCATCTTCATGGAGGAAGCTGCTCATATTACAGGCAGTGCATTACATTCAATATGAAATTCCCCTTCAGTAATATTAATTAAAAATGTGTATTTAAATGTGTGATATTGCTTGGAAATTGGTAAATTTTAATATTGATTCAGACCATAATTTTTTTTCCCTTAAATTTCATAAGACAGTAATTAATTAATTTTTTTACTGATAAAAAATAAAATCACTGAATTTAACATTCATAGTGAAGAAATAAAAACATTTATACAATATTCCCAATCCAAATTGATATTTATTATCAAAGATGTATAAAATAAAAACCTATAAAAATTCTACTCACTCTGAGATTTAAATGCAATGATGTATTCCATTATGCATTTGTAGGAAGACTCAACGCTGTACCATTAAAAAAGTAAATTTCAAGAAAAAAAAAATTAAGAAATCTTAATTACGATTTTGAAAAAATCATTGATGAAGAAGATCAGATCTTAGAGTCAGATTGGTACAAATGTCCAGATGGCATTTGATCTATGGAGGCAATATGATTACGATTTTCCCACGCTACAATTCCTGATTTCTATTCTTATCCACAATAAACTGCGGATACAACTATTTCCTGTTTAAGGGACAAAACACTTGACAAAATAAACCATTTTCAACTACATCTAAATGAATTGCATTTTTTGGCGAATTCAATTCCTGCTCACGACAATGCTCTGGTTACGTAAAATGGAACATTTCCTTGAAATGGATTTACTGTACATAATTTACCCCAAGTGGAAACAAAGACACCACAATCTTATTTACAAAATATTAATTAAAACCAATTCAGAAACACCTGGCAAGCAATTTCAAATTAATTCAATAATTTAAAAAAACATGCACAGTATATCTCCCCTCAGCCATTGGTTTCTAAATACTAATCTAAAATTATACAGCATTAAATTTAGTAAAAAATCATAAAAATTTGTAGAAGTATTTTCTGTTTTTGTGTACTCTTTTTTCCTTACTTGAAATGCCACAATTAAGGTGTAAAAAACATTATATATAGTTTACAATAAAAGTTCTTTCTTAAACAGAATAAAAATTCAATTTTGAAATGTAAAAATTTTAAAAAGATTCAAATTAAGATAAGAAATTGATTAAAATGCTTTCTGAATAGTAAACCCGTAAGCCACTACTGGAACGATAGATGGTGTCAACAAAAGTGCTACGATGTACCAGTTATATGATACGGCCAATTAAAAAGAAATTCAATTCCAACTTTGTAACAATTCCTTACCCTGATACATTGCAATCCACAAAATGTGATCACCCCAAAAGAACTCATTGACTGATATATGGGATCACAAATTATTTTTTGGCCTTTGACAAACAACTCATAAAAGCTAGGATCATGAACCCAGCAAGGGTATAAAAACTACTAGATTTCTCCTAAAAATGACCATCAAGTTTATTCTGAAACAAAATGTCAAATACGCCGCATGTCAACGATCACTTTAAAAAGTAGAAATTATAGAAGACAAATTAAAAATAATTTTTTAAATGACCAATAATTATTTGAAAATATCAACACTATAAACTCACCATGGCCATATATCCTATGGAAGACCGATTTAAATTTAGTCATCTTTTTAAACTTTTTGATGGTTAACACAGTAAAAACGCCAACAAATCGTCTTGATGACCACTAATAAAATCTCAAATACGTGCACAAACTTTTCATTAAAAAGTTTATAATTCACAAATTAAGCGTTTTTCTCAAAATGGGCCATTCCCATCCGAGTTTTTATTGTCTGCAATCAATTAGCGCTGAAGTTAATCCAATCATTGTCCCTTCTCTCCTCCCAAGCATGAAATTAACACTGACATTAAACGTTTTAAAAAAAAAAGACAGTGAACATCGCGGGGCTCCATGTTTAATTATAATCATATACACGTTTCTTTTGTTATTGTAAGAACGTAATACGTAATATGAAGAAAAGTTTGGTTTGCGCTGTAGACGATGTCGTAATAATGGAGGGTTCATTTTGGGATGCAAAGATTGATCGCATCATGGTACAAAATTTGACACCACTTTATAGGGGAGCATAAGATAAATAAGTTTTCCATTTATCACGAATGCCCTCAATCTTTTTAGAAAAAGGCCAGATTTTTCAAACAGATACTGTTTCAACTATACAATACTTTAAGCTATTACTTTTAAAGTTGGAAGGTGAGATCAAATGATCTCTTAATAACATAGCCTAAACAAGGACAGGCAACTTTACTGGGCTCCGTTAAGGCAGTCAATTTTCTCCTTCGAGTTGCATAGAAATACTTAGTAAAGAAACTTATAACGTTACATTCACACTAAACACATAATCCTAAAACAGTAAAAGAATTGAATTTAGTTATCCAGGAAGTTAGAAATCTCCAAGACTGGTCCTTTTCGTTCAGAGACATGGTCCTACACTCAGGCACGGAGTTGAAATGGGGCCTAATGAAATGACCAGCAAATTGTAAGTGTGTGCATCATTTGAAATGAGTGACAGTGAACCTAAAGAAGTCAAGTGGGGACAGAAGTATAGGTTGTGGATGGAAAAATTAATTGAATGACCAAGCAAGACCATGTTCTGGGTTTGTTGGTGCCATAATCTGCCTGGCGGTCCAAATCACCACTGCTCTGTAAATCCCTGGGGGTCAGTTCTAATCGCTGTGATTAAATCATGCGGCTTCACTCTTTCTCCTTGCACCTACCTCTCGCCTTTTGGCCACAATGGCTACACAAAGTGAAGAAGGTGACAAGAAGATACCAGGCAAACCTTTTGATAATCTGAGGAGAGGTATTGTGTGGTACACAGGTTGTTGTGGGCCTTGAGAGTGAGGTGTACTCTTTTCTCTGAGATGAGGTATACCACTGGTCATTTTGATATGTCAAGGGTATCCTTTTGTTCGAGTTCAAAAGTTGAAATCTTAAAAAAAAGAGAGCTAAAACATCTCTTTTCCAGAATTTTTTTTATTGCGAGTCATATGAAAAAGGCGTTTCAATGGTAGTAATTTATTGGTGACACAGTTCTTGACAAGTCTAGAAATGGTACACGAATATGATGAAGTTAAAATGGCAAAAAATTACGAGTTCCATCCATCTAAATCAAAGCTTTGGCAACTCACAACGAATCATTTTTTTGGTTGCCAAAAGAACATACCGTTACCTGAAATCTTGACATACCAACACAAATGTTCGAACAATTTGTTTCCGTTTATATGCAATAAAATGACACGATCAAAAACTGAAATAACATTTATGAACTTGCTTAATTTTTCGCCTGCCAAATTGAATTAAATTTTTCGTGTTCACTGTCATTGCTTTTCACGGGAAACTGAAATCCTGCCCGAAAATTTCTTGTCTACACTTATCAACATCTTATCTTAATTAGCCGAGTCCGTGTATAAGGGGTTTGCGGCAACGTTAAAATATATGACCTAAACCCTATACCATGACATAACAGATGGCATTTTCCCTGCAATGGTTAATTAAAACATTATTTAAGAAATACCGTGAAAACACAACGTAAAGCTATTCACTGTTTAAAAAAAATCTAGATATTACCACTTTCACGAATTCACCGAGACCAGCTTACACATAAGGTAATGCTTTACTTTTTTTTTCATATTTATTATTTACTGAACTTAAACTATACCTTGACTTCTTATTTGCACATGTCCTTTGGAGTTTGTGGTAATTTAAGGTAGTTTAAAAATTTATAAAATTTAAAAAATAATCCTTTCTACGAATCACTCGTTTTTTGATTTTTTTGTTTCAATAACCTGTTAGCTATTATTTATGTAAAAAATTCGTACAAAATAGTACTGTTGTGTTCTTAATTTAATAACTATATCAAACACAATATATCTAGAAAAACAATACTCATCAAGTCAATAAAAAACTCTTAATCAGTAAAGGATTAATCTAACTTATAAAAACATTTTACATTGCACTACATTATATCTGCCATATATCTTTCACTCTAAAAACAATTACTTTGATGCTCAGTCACACCTGCCATGGCCTGACTTTACTAGGTTGTTGTCCAGGGGGGACCAGTAGGTACCGCACCCCACCTGGTACTGCGGCCGTGGCCATACAGACATATGGCCTCTGTCAGCAATCATTCTGTCCCCTGGCCCACCACAAAATCTCATTACACACCGTATATAGTCCACAGTGACTTGTTTTATGCTTCTTTATTACTAACCATTGCTCTTCATGAAGATATCGAATACTCGTTTTATCATATGTTTTAAGATGACAGAAAGTGCAAAAAATATTTCTTTAAACAAATCAATCAGATTAAATGTCCTATGTTTGTAAATACTACATCTACAGAATTTCTATATATTGATAGATTTTTCCAGGAATGCTAATTACTATAACATAATTTGTTCTAATATATAATACTTACATATGACAAAGAATATTCTTCACAATCCCAAAGACCCCAAAAAAATTTAGTCATATCTTAATATCTTGATTTTTTTTTCTTTTCTGGAAATACTTTACAAAATAAAAATTCCCACAAGATATGAAGAACTGAACATAACTTTAATATTTTTCCATATGAAATCGTAAATGCTTTGACAATACATTTGAAATCATACAACTTCTTTCACTTCAAACTATAGTATTCTGCTGCTGAATCACATGATATACATTTTCTATAGAATTCTAAAAACAGATTTTGCTTCCCTTTGTCTTGAAATAAAATATTTTCAATAAGGACAAAACTAAGATAAGAGAAACATGTACAGTTCTATATGCTGTTTTCTGTAAAATTATACTTCAGATCTAAATAATACTGCCTGGTGTGTATAGCAAACAGGATAGCAACACAAAATAAAACAGAAAATATAAATTACCCTTTCCTGCTCTGTTTGACAGGTTCATCAAAGTAGAATTTTATACCCTACCATTCTATTTCCTTTGCTTTGACTTTGAGTAAACATGTGCATGCTAACTACATCAATAGAGATTTTTAAAGAGAAGAGATCAAACTTAAAAAAATATGAAACTGAATCCTAAATCTTTGTCATACCTTGTGTGGTACAAATGATATGGTTGCTACCATTCATTGTGTGGTTGCTATGGTGACCATCTGGAGGAGAATATGGCTCAGACTCGGGTGGGCTGTCAGGGAGGGTTCTGGAATACCAAAAACATCTCGTCTGTAATTTCATATTATAAAAAACAGACCCTATTTCCTGATTCTGTTAGTTTTAATAATCAAAGATTTTTTTTTTTTACTATTTGAGGGCACTTGCTTCCTGATGAATAGGGAATATCCTTAACACAATATACTTCACAAGAGTTGGCATCAAAGCCAATATTGTATACTAATGTCACGTGCTACAGGAAACAACCCCAGTCTCCCACTTGTCTGACACAAGTTTTACTTCATGGTTCTAAATTCTCTTGTTTTGTTCTCCCTTTGCACTTATTGTCAAAAATAAAAAAACAAATTATTAAAAAGAAACATATGTCTATATATATATATATATAGAGAGAGAGAGAGAGAGAGAGAGAAAACTAAATGGTATTGTACAAAGATAAATCATATGGACTAGAAATTTGACCAAATATTTCAAATTTTATATAAAATAGCAGGTTTTTTTTTTTTAATTTTATCTGTGGGATCAATTTAACCCATACACTCAACATCTTGATTATTACAACTGGACCAATCTCCTTCATATATATATAAAAAAAAAAGTCAAATCTCAAGAACTCATACAGGTACAAACAGTCACATGATGATAAAAATACAGAAACTTTTACCTTTCAACCTTCAGACAAGAACTTTAATTGAATTAGATTGGTCTAAAGTGTAATGGCATTTGTTTAGATGGTATCTATATCCAAGTCGTTCATTTTCAACCTGTGCCAGTTACGTTCCAACCGAGTGAATTGATTGAACAAGTTGTACCACAAGCCCTGATGTCTCCCTAACCGAATCAATGTCTGAATGTAACAGAGAGGACTCATATCCATCAGAAAATCTTTCACTTTTCATTCAAATAACAGACTTATATATGTGGTATTTCTTCATTTTTGATTTATAACTGATCACTGGAAACAGACTTATTCTTCTCCTACATTGACATGGCCAGAGTAATTTGTACAGTCATGGCATTTGTTAATCTCAAATACAAGGAAAGATTTGTAAAGACACTCAACTATATTTGAAAGTCAATTCTTATACATAATGAAATAAAATCTTGCACAAATAAAAGAATTTTTTCCTTAAGTACAGTAATTCTATATAAAAAAAAGAAAACTTATACTATGTCAAAAATATCCTAGGGAAAAGGGAATTATCTCAAATTACTTTTTTCCCGGTAAAACATCAACAAAAGTTAAAATATAAATGACATTTTGTTTTTTCAATAAACAGCAATGTCTAAATCCTTCCTCCCTGTCCTATTCCCCCACTAATGTGTATACTTACAATAGTCCAGCAGCTGGTAGTACCAGCAGTCCAATGTATGCCTGACCTCAACAGGCTGTGGTTTGTTTAGATGGTACAAGCCAAAGACCAATACCACATGTCAACCTTAAAACTGTTTTGTACCACTGGCAGAATAAAAATTATTCTTTATGCCCTCCCCATTTGGACCTTTTGTCCACTTTAGAAAGCTGTCTGAACCACGAAATGACCTAATGAACATTCAAGACAGGATCTTTCCCTTGGTAGTGATCATGACCCCCCCCCCCCCCCCCCCCCCAATATTAAAAAAAAACCTGTTAATATTGATAAGCTTTTGAGAAGAATTAGAGATTTCATCCTCAGAATATAACATATACTTTTATAAAAATCCTACAAATAAGTAAATTTCACATCTAAATGCTAACAGAAAGTATTATTGGTGTTTATGTCCCTCTGACTGTGAACTTCATGTAATTAAAGAAGATGACATGCATGATATTGTGTCACTTAATAAAAAAAATTGAAGTTAGAAGAATTCAAGAAATTACTCAAATAGCCATGAGAAAAGTATGTGCATATGTCCAGGAGACCTTAAATTTAACAGAAAAGAGCTTTCCTATGAATACCATAAGGTTAACAGGTCAAAGTAATTCAAAACTTCATGGGGGGTTGGGTGTGGATTTAAAACATAAGCACATTGAAATCAATATGGCCATATTGTAGCTCAAAACACTCACTTTTCAACTGGTTTTTTTTTTTCATGCTTCACACACATGTATTTATTAACACTTAGATAATTAGTTGCAACAAGCTAATTCAGGGAATTTATGCCCTAAGCTGAAGGACAAAAGTTTGAAGAATTACTGGATACTATAACATTCCATATATGACTTTGTGACCTTGACCTGTCACCTTTTGGCCTAAAAATCAATAAATTATGAATCTTTTTTTAAAATTAGGGTCACCACCTTAGGCTTCACTACAAACTCAGAGAGAACTAAATTTATCTAAAAACCATTTTATAAATAAATGAATTTTTGAACTTGGCCTTTGACCTTTTGACCATAAGATTGATATTGGTCTTATTTAATTCATTAGAGAGTTATGAGATAATATTTCATAATAAAAGCTAAAGGACTTTAGAGATATTATCCAGAAATGAAAAGTTTGACAGATAGACAGAATAACAGATAGACAGATGAAAGGGACCCATGTTCATATTCCATGTTTTTTGCAAAATCAGTTGACAAAAAAACATATCTGTAGACATTGCAGTCACCATTAGTCCAAACAAGACACTACAGATAATATAACTGCCTTTGTATTTTGTTTTGTACAGAAGCCATGATCTTACATTAACCAAAGGCAACAAGATATTTTGGCTATCCAATTTATGTTGCTTTTAAGATTTGAAAATCAATTTTGGTTTTCTGCCTGCAGTTAGATCTTTATCATGGAAAAATCGTTTAAATTTCATTAATTTTTATAAAAATTTCACTTAACAATAAGTTTTTGTCCCACTTGAATATCAGATTCTGTATGTAAAATAAGAGTTGCTGTTACAGATAACAATGGAATATTACAGTGACACTCTGGGTAATTAAGCTTCCTCATTGTCCATAACTCCTTTACTGTATCATACAAAACCTATTTATGAACAATTCATATTTTCAGCTAAAATCATTTACGTAAGTGGTGAATGAAATGAAAATACAAATTACCCAATTAGAATCATAAGTACATCTGAACAAGTAGTGTACATAGTACAATTGACAATCCCTTAAACTTGCACAGTTTCACTAAGAAAATAGATACACACAACAACTCTTAGCTCTCTCTCTCTCTCTCTCCAAAAGTATCTTAAAATTTTTCCCAATTCATATAAATATCATACTTTGAAGCTAGCATGACACTATATAGATTTCCTCTGTATACGTACGGGTTCATAAGTCGGTTATCATAACCTTGAATGCCGTTGATGGAATTGTTGATCCCTGTACAACTATAGAGTCCGTTCATTGGGCTTTGTGTCTGGGTGTGTGGTGGGGTGGAGGTGATGGGGGCATGGGGATTTGCCAGGTGGTTGAACTTGTAGCACTCGTCGAGCTGCTGTGGGGGAACACTGGGGTGGTTCTGGGAGGGGAGGGGTCGTCCGTTGTTGGGGTATGCTATGGCGGGAATGGCTTCCTCGGGAAGGCACCTACAATGAAATCATAAAAATCAACAGAATGCAAGGCATAATCAATTAAGTCCTTCATACAAATTTTTTCTGCAGTTATTTGAACAATAAACTAAAACTTTTTTCATATTTTTACTACTACTCCCTCCAATTGTGTTTGCTTACCATAAATAAATTCTTAAATTTGTCAAACTATTCACTGTCAGAAATAGCTGATTCCAGAACTAACTATTGTCTCCATAGTGACTCTATTTACTTCCCCTTGTGTCATGCAAGATTGAACAGTATAAAATCCTTTCTTGCAGCTGGGTTTTTTTTTAAATAATGAAAACCATATCAAGTGGTTCATCAATCAACATAATTACATCATTGGAAAGGACATCAAAACACTAATTACATTGTTCAAGTACTTCCTTTGCATAAAACTCAATATTTATACTGTGATTGTTGTCTGCCTTCAAAACAAACTCTGATAATCTAAAGCGTCATTTTTGCAATTAGAAATTGAAACTATCATGAAAATCATGTTTTAGAGAGAGTTATTAACATTAAGAAGCACCATATGAATATTAAAATTTGTGATAATGTGTATCAACAGAATCTTAAGATTTGTTGCATACGAATTTATCTCTTTCAATATCAAACACAATCATACAAGATGTTTACAAATTTTACTTCAAAACTCTAATGTTTAATCTAATGAATAAAAAATTACACATTTCTGATTGTCATTAGCTGTAGAGATGTGTATCATGTTTATAGACAAAAATTCAAGCATTTGTCAAGTGTCCTTATCCAAATGCAACACATTACCAACATGGAATTTCCTGAGGAATAACTTTTCCACAGTTCCATAGTCAAATAATACATATACAGTCCTTGTTTAATGAAAATATTTTCAACACAGCATCAATAACGATAAAGGTTAAATCTTCATATATGGACATATGCACAAAAAAAAAAAATACAGAAGAATTCCATCCAAATTCTTTTAAATCAAATCAAATATCACTGATTGATGAGATCGATAGAAAATAATATATTAAATTCCAGTCTTAATTATAACAACTTGCAGCATTATATTAAGTTCCATCTATAATTACCTCATGATTGCTTCACATTAAATATGCAAAGTACATTTTACAACAATGATCCCGTTCAAATTCACTGAGCTGACTGCAGGTTCCTGTGAATGATCAAGATATAACCACAAAGAGGAACCTGACACATCAAAAGAAGCTACTAATTAAATTGACGATTAAAAAATCAAATCATTCAAGTCCCTTCTTCACCTTCCACAAATCACTCCATATTTTTCTCTGAAGTAGCCGAGCACACAATTTTTTTTTTCTCAAGTGAGCAAACAACAATGACTGACAAATATAATTTTGAACAAAAATGATTGTGTACTTTGAATAAACAAAATGCAGAAGGGATCCCATGTACGGGTTGTTAACTGTGTAGCAAATGAAAATCTACAATTATATAACAAAGCTTAGTAAAAGGACGAGCCAGGCACATCTATACACCAATGCCTCTAATTAAACCAGCCCCTGATGTTTAAATCATTTAACTTGAAAAAAAATATATATGTTTAATTCTGTGTTGAACTTTTCATGAATTTTGTGGGAAAAAAACATTCAGAATAAAAAAGGAAATCTGAGTGCCTGGGGTACCTTTTATAACGACAAACTTAAGAAAAGAATACAGCTGTAAGACAAGTTTAGGCCTAGTTTTCATTTACGCAAAATTGGGACACATTTGTTCTGATGTAAAATTATTCATAAAATAAAATTTCATTTTTGGATAAAAAATGGTTATTTATTTTTTTTAAACAAATATCATCCAGATCCCTTTTCCAGGAAATATTTAACACACTCATCAAGTGCAGTCATTAATCTGTCAAACCTAAAATTAAACTTAAACATTAATGGCTATTTTTTCATTAAGTTTAAAATGAATTAATTCTATTTACCTGTACATGTCAAAGCCGGGTCATCTTGGTTGCCAATATTCCATGTAAATTTGTCAAAAACAACTTAGTTTTACATGCACATCTCAGTCACAATGGGGATAATAAAATCACACAGAAAATATCAATTATCTACTCAGAAAGGAATAAGAATTTAAGGAAATGCTTTAATTACACATTAAGCATTTTTTTTAATCACTTTTGAGCCCCAATTGTGGATTTATTTGAATAACAGAGCTGATATAGGTAACCATCAAAACTTTCAGAATTGTAGGTTCCACTCCAATGAATTTGGATTACTCTTTTAATGGAATTCCAAGTTAATAATATACATATCCTGTTTTTTTAAGTCACTTTCTTGACATACACACTATATTGAACAGATAATTTGCTGGAAACAAGTTTGTCAACAACTTTTTTCCCCTCAAAATCAACTGATTTACAAAAGATTATCCCTTTCAGCGTACGTCGGAACAAATCACCCCGATTAAAAAATAATTCACCATCTGATTATTGAGGACCTTTAGTGCCCAGAGTGCTTTCTATGAGCATACCCTGAAGTGGGACAAAACGTCAGGTGTGTAAAAAAGGCGGAACAGGTTTATCAATGACCCTAACCGTGCCCCTAGGGTGTAAGGTCCTATTATTATTGTATATCCACTACTCTTGTATTTACTTATGACTTAATGAAGCGTGCATGGTATCATTTAACAGGCATAAAATAAACAGTCATTTGTCAGCTTTACATATGTACTAACAGCTCTTTAATGAGACTAGTTAATCGGGTCATATTTCTTTGTCTTTCATCCATTGTTTTTACAAATGCTTTAAAAAAAACTGATGAAGAGATGAGGAATCTATATGTGTATCTTCTGTAGTATGTAGAGCTGCAACATTGAGTCTCATTCTCCATGAATGTTCAGACATCTATAATTCATACCTGAAGGCACCTAACACGGCTTCACATTGCCAACGACAATCGGCACCGGCCGTCGCCTGGTACGCATGGCTCGTGTTACAGTGGTACGACTTTGAACGTCTTGTCCAACCTGACAAGCTTCAGAAAACCTCAGGTTTAGACACCTTCTCTCTTGAAGCTTACAAATAGTAGCTAACTACTCCCTAGTATATCACTGTGCAATGGTGGATTGTGAAAATAATAAACCAAAGATTTTAGCAATGAGTGGGGTTGCATTGTTTGATTTTAAATCCATTATTTACTCTTCTCTTGAAGAAGAACAGCTAAATTGATGAAATAACCCTCTGATTGATCACCTCTTTTTAATGGGCTCTTTTTTAAACATTTCTTTTCTGAGTGATGTCTTGTACTTTACTTTCCATAAATTAAAATACTAACAAGCTTCCGTGTACTTAATTGTCTCTGAGGTCACACTATAGATTTACAATTTACTACACATTAAAACTCATTGAGTACATATCCTTTGTCATACTTAACCCAGGACAAAATTCTATAATAATTAAAAAAAATAATTACAAGAGTAACTAATCCATATCCTTTTAAGCACATAAATAAGAAAGCATCAGTATCTGGTTTGAATTTGGCAGTATTTTCCAAAAATAAGGAAGAGCAATATGTGACTAAGATAAAATGTAGCTTTTTTTCCTTATTTTTTACCAAGAAAAATTTAAATATACTGAGTTGTGAATCTGGACTACTAACCAACTTCTCTATGCAAATTTTAAGATTTGTTGTACTTAAATTGAATCAATCATTTTGTCATAATTTACTGATGTATCTGTTTAAACTTCCACAAAAGAAAAAAAACTCCAAAAAGACTAACTACAAAATGTGAACAAAGGGAAGCAACTCAATAATCATTTTTTAGGAAGAGGATAAGAGGAAACTGTTCTTTTGACAATTGTCAAAAAAAAAATTAAAAAAAAAAAATTTAAAACTCAGTGCAGTTACTGAATGATTTAGCACATTATGCACACATTTATCAAAATACAAATATGTAAATTACTCTTCATGTAATCATTCTCTAAGCTATATAGTACCAGGTCCCTGTGTCTTTGAAATAATTAACACAAATATTTGTATTTGACTATTCATTCATTTTACTACATAATGTCTCACGGAATACCTGATGACATTATGGCAATGAAATTCTCCTGAAATATAGTCATGTTGCACATCAAAAATGGCCACAGTTATTTCCATATTTTTTGCAAATCTCTGTATATCTTGCCAGATTGTGGTTAAAAAGTAATTTTCAAGACTCCATTCAAATGGGATTCATTTAAAATTAAACTCTTCTATTTAATTTAAAAGATGGAGTTTCATTAAAACTTTAATGTATAGTTTCTCTCCATTCCATCTCTTTCTCTATGTCTCCATATACTAGAAAATACTACATACAACTTACTATTAGATTCCATTTAAAATCATCTTTCATGAAAGGTGCTACTCCAAACATATGGATTTTAGTTATTTATTTTGCCAAGTATTTAACAATCCAACATTTTCAATAATAGCAAAAAAAATCATATAAAAAGGATTGGTCATACAGTTTTTGCTAATTAATTAATGAATAATTTATCTTATAACTCGCAGCCAATTAGGTTTCTCTTATAATCAATATAATCCCCCTTTATCTTTACTGTATTTTTATTCAATTACATATTTTATTTTTTACTTGGAAAGCGTAACATCTTTTTGCTAATTATGGAAGTCAATTTTTCCGAGTAATGAAGCTATATAATATTATCTAAATTCGTGAATAAATTGTCACGATTTCTATTTTTCATAAAAACTGTAACGATTTCTATTTTTCATAATTTTTTTTATTTTTTACTTGGAAAGCGTAACATCTTTTTGCTAATTATGGAAGTCAATTTTTCCGAGTAATGAAGCTATATAATATTATCTAAATTCGTGAATAAATTGTCACGATTTCTATTTTTCATAAAAACTGTAACGATTTCTATTTTTCATAATTTTTTTTATTTTTTACTTGGAAAGTGTAACATCTTTTTGCTAATTATGGAAGTCAATTTTTCCGAGTAATGAAGCTATATAATATTATCT